CAGTCCATCAGAGAGCAGGCAGGGCTTCCTGGAGAAGGAGTTGTGGGTGCTGCACCTAGGCAGGCAGAAGGCTTTCACTGCATCTTAAAGGAGGAAGCAGCACGAGGACCCTCAGGAGAGCATGGACAAAGGCAGGGAGTGTTGCTTTTAGGCAGGGAGTGACACAGTCAAAGCCAGTCTGTCCTCTGATCCCACAAACCACCCCCAATCTGGGCGGTGAGGAGACAGTGCCTTGGGGGTGAATGAGTTGCTCCTCCAGGGCTTTCGCTTCCGGACACCATTTGCTGTGGGTGTGGGGCAGGCCTAGGGCATTGTAGAAGTGCATCCGTCTAGGGAGGTGATGGGAGGCAGCGCCCTGTGGGATTTGCTCCTTGCCCCTTTGCCCCCTCTTCTGCCCCCATCGTCACCAGGCGAGGGCAGTGTGCGCCTGGTGGGGGGCGCAGGCCCCTGCCAGGGCCGAGTGGAGATCCTGCACGGCGGCCTGTGGGGCACTGTGTGCGACGATGACTGGGGGCTGCCAGACGCCACCGTGGTCTGCCGCCAGCTGGGCTGCGGGGAGGCCCTGGCTGCCACCACTCACCCCTTTTGGCCCCATCCTGCTGGACAACGTGGGCTGCGCCGGCACGGAGGTCCGCCTGAGCGACTGCTTCCACCTGGGCTGGGGGCAGCACAACTGCGGCCACCACGAGGACGCGGGAGCGCTCTGCACAGGTGCGGGCTCGGGAGGGGGGAGCGTGGCCGGTGGGCGGGACCGGGCCGGGTCCAGCAACCCGAGGAGCCTAAGTGGGGCTTGGGCGGCGAGGGGTGTTGGTGGCTACCTTGATGTCTCCCAGAGTAATCCAGAAAGGCCCCGAAATTACTGTTAATATCTCAGTGCTGCTCTAGAAGTGCCTCAGGAAACGTCAGTACTCTTTGTGGTGAGCTCCACAGCTGTGTAATACTGGAGTATTGTTCTACCAACACGCTAGAACAGCGGTTCTCAACCTGTGGGTCGCGACCCCTTTGGGGGTCGAGCGACCCTTTCACAGGGGTCGCCTAAGACCATCGGAAAACACATATATAAGTACCGCGCACTAACCGATTGCGCCACTGGAGCTCCGTAAAAACACATATATAATTACATATTTTTTTGTGATTAATCACTATGCTTTAATTATGTTCAATCTGTAACAATGAAATTGGGGGTCACCACAACATGAGGAACTGTATTAAAGGGTCGTGGCATTAGGAAGGTTGAGAACCACTGCTCTAGAACTAGCTAGCAGTACCCCAAGAATGCCCCAGGAATTTCCGAGCATATCCTAAGTACTCTTCATGGAACACTTCGAAATAATAGAACTCTATAATTGCCCAGAAACACTACATTGCAGCCCAGGTATGACCCCAGAATTACCTAGTGCAGCCCTCTTTAATCCTGATGCTCTTATAATGCCCCACCTGGCCCCTCTCCATTTTGATAAGTTTTTTGAGCAAATACAAATAATAGGGCCAATAATGGCACTTCACAAATGGACTCCACTCTACAAGCTATAAATGCCTGCCCACGCCTCACAGGAAACCAGGGGCCATAATTTCCAGTTTACAGATGGGAAAGCTGAGGCCCAGGGAGGCAGAGCCACACCCGTGGTCACACGGTGAGCCCTGGCAAAGTCGCGGCTAACTTTGCTGCATGGTCTCAAGCATGACCTTTGCCTTCTCTAGCCCTATTTTATTTGTAGGATGGGGATAACGAGTCTAGTTCTGCAAGTCCCTCAGGACCGTGCATGGCCCTCCCCCTGTGGTCAAGACCTTCTCTATCTCTCCATTTTGGACACACGTTGGGTTTCTGAGAACATTGGAAAGAAAGGAAAGCATGTCTGTCAAAGTCCTGTGTAAACTGCGATGTGTACGCCTGTACAGCACCAGTGAATTACGACCGTTGTCAAAGTGGGGCAGACCTCCTTGGACCCCAGATGGGGCTAAGCCCTCAGCTCTAGAAGTACAATCTGTGGTCTTCTTCAGAGAAATCCTTCTATCCTCCTGACAGCCAAAGGCTGACCAGGAACTAGAACCTCAGCCTCTGACTCTGCTCCCTTCTTTCCTGCTCTAGTTCTAGGGCCCGCGACGCTCACAGCACTGCCACCCTCAGCCACAAGAGAGGACTGGGCCTGGCACACAGAGCCAGAGGGTAAGGAGCCCAGCTTGAGCCTGCTAGCCTCCAGGCTATAATGGTAGAGGGAAGGTGAGTAGGGCTGGGAATCGAGAAGGCTGTTGAGATCCATAGGAAGGGGCCTGACTAGAAGGCCAGAGCTTTTGACCAGATGGTAGAGGTGGGTGAGTGGACAGAGGAACAGATGGAGAGCAAGGATGAAATCCAGACCTCTGAAAAGTTCAGTAAGGTGGGAAGACATAGTAAGCGATTTTTTCAAAGCTCTTAAGTAAAATTTGGGTTGGTGATGAGGGTGGGAACTAAGAGGCCTTGTGAGAGGTTTGAGATAAAGGTTGAATGAAGGATAGAAGTACATTTACAATTAGGGTTGAAACCATCATTGGGATTGAAATTAGGATAACGCCTGGAAACAGGATTTGGTTCATTCCAATCCAGTTTCCAGAGGACCCCACCACACCAATCAAGGTGGTGACTCCAGAGTTGAGGTTGAGTGTGGGTGCCAATGTGGTACAGTTGGGGGACTTCGGCAGGAGCGCCCATGCCCTGCTGTAGGCCAGAAGGCCTCTTTGTCCCTTTCAGATGCTCTATCTAGATGCCCTGTCTCCGCAGCCACAAGAGTTGGTGCCCTGCCTTCTAGGGAGACAGCCTTGTTCACCACAGCCTCCTGGGTCGCGGGGAAGAAAAGTAAGTGGCAGAGCGGGGATTCCGGGGCGGGTGGGAAAAGGTGGAGCTGGGGCCCTGCTTGGGAGCTGGTGGCTCCAGAGCAGTCCCTCTGGCCCCCTGGC